AACATCAAGTTTATCAGTCTGTTCAGTTAGGAAGCATAAACTATTGTAAATCCATTTCAGCTGCTTTGGTAACAGTGAAAGTGACAACAGGTTCACTGGAGAGGCAACAACAAGACAGCTGCTAAAAAAGGAATGTTTCTGCAGGAGGTGGTCACAGACAGTTGCTCTCTCCTTATCCCTCCCGACTGATTTTTCTCTTATTTTGCTTTTTATTAGTGTCCTTGTCACTACTGGTAGCATGAAACAATACCTGCAGCCCATTCAGGCTGCACAGGTAGCTGCTCCAGGATGGCGCATCCATACATGCCATCACAAAAACTTTGGTGTATGTCTAAGGACAGTCTCAAGATTGTGGACATGATACCAAAAGACTGGCTAATACATGCAGAGAGGTGGACAAGATCGAAGAAGGGCATCAACCACAAAACAGGATTGGCCTCTGCTCCTGTGTGTGCGGAAAAACAGGGGGAGCACTGCCAGAGCCTTACAGAATGACCTCTAGTGGGCTCATTGTGCATATTTCTGACCAAACTGTCAGGAACAGACTACGGGAGACTGGTATGAAGGGCTGAAGTCCTTTAGTGGAACCTGTGCTCACAGCCCACCACCGTGCAGCTTGGCTGGCATACGCCAAAGAATGCAAAAATTGGCAGTATCCACCTCTGATCCCCTGTTGGCTTCACAGATGAAAGCAGGTTCGCTCTGACAATGAGTCAAAGAGTCTGGAGACACCATGGGAAACTTTATGATGTCTGAAACATCATCCGGCATTACAAGTTTTGGCGTGGGTCAGTGATGATCTTATCCTTATCCTTGCAAGGTCATACAGACCTGCATACACAGACTGCTGTTTGGTACCAGGAGGGAATCCTCAGAACTTTTGTCAGACCTTATGTAGGTCTACATTGCTCTCATGTGTCCAGAGGGCATTTAAGGCAGTGATACACTGACTGGCTCTCATATTCACCAGGCCAGGGCTGATGATCTTTTCAGACATGTTAACTTCCATTTCTATATCAAATGATTCTTATTCCAGTTAGGTTTTGTTTAAAATCTAGATGGTTCTGTTTTATTTCAGACCAATACATAACAAACATTACTAATGAAGCTGCAATAAACCGTTTTTGTGACTGCTTTGAATGCAAAAATAATTAATATACAGATCTGTTCAGATTTATGTGGCCAATTGTTTTGCAGCAAACATGTTACTTTGCACAACCAGTTGTTACAAAATAACATTATCCCCTCTTTCAGCTCTGTGTTTGGTCTCCTATAAAGTTTTTATAGCTGCAAAATGTCTCAGTATTTTTGCCATCTAACTTTTAATCTTGACTACTTGCTGTTTGGTGCTGAGCCGCTGGTGTTTTTAGAGCTTTTTCACAATAAGAGTGGACTCAACATGCTAGTTGCAGATTGCATAGCTAAGGTTAAGTCCACTGTAAAGCCCTGCAAAGCTGAGGGCAGCTGCAGAGTCAGAGGTTAATTCTCTGTAGGTTCATCAATAAGAACACCTTTCAAACTGTCCTGTCACATTGCCTTTTGACACACTATTATTAGAAAACAACTCAGAATCGATTTAAGGATGTCACTTAAAAGTAACCATCAATGGAGCACATGCAGGATACACCCAAGACTGATAGCTGTGACCAATTATGTAGAGAGGTGCTCTTCAAAAGTTACTGCTTCAGTGTTTTGTCTCTTTGACCAAGAGATGACATTTGATACTCCTACACTGAGTCTACTGAATTCAGGTGTAATTTTTGGAGGCTACATGCAGTGCAAGCCTCATCCTCCTTTCAAAAAAAGTTTCCTTTTTCCTCATACAGCATCAATTTTGTACGTACAAATGCTAATCAGAGAATTCTAACTTGTCTTCCTTAGCTGATTGCTAGGTAGACTGGTCCTGACAACTTCCTGTCTTGTATAATGTATCATACATGAATCCCCTTTCCAGCATAATTAATCCCCATTTCAACTCAACTGTAATTTTCTACGGCACCCATATGAGCTGTCATTTTAATCATTTAGTATTAACATATATCAAATGAAAGTCCTTAACTAAGCTGCCAAAAAAATGTTAATTTAAGTCTGTCAGATACTGCTTGAAACATTCAAATCTTCCTTTTAACCTTCATGAATTCTGACTGTAATTTTACTTAATAGCTTCAGCGGCATTGTGACAGCTACCAGTGATAAGAGATTCTTCTTCTTTTTAAAGCATGTAAGGATATTTGGACTAAAGTGAGGACACATAAAATCACTGAACCCACACATTAATTAAATTAAACTCTCTAAGGAAATATTTCCCACTGGCTGGTGGAACACCTGCCTTACAAGACATGGAAGGTTCAGTACTGTATAACAGATGTGCTCTATTTATTCCACATTTTTAAAAAGAGTTCACAAAATTGTGTAGGTAAATCATCGATGGCAATACTCAAAACAGATGAACAATCATATTAATCCTGCAGTAAGCTGAACAGCGACTTGGACTAACAGATGGTAGACTTTATAACGTTCCTGTAAAATAGTGAAAACCGAATACAGCAGACTCAGCTTTCTGGGAACATTTATATCTCAGCCAGAATTAGAATACATGAAAATCAAACCAAGCTGATGAGTACTAATGAAATCTTTAAGCAGCAGGTTGTAAATTCATTTAGCATAGCGAGCCACAGATTAAAGGCCCCATGCTGCTCTGCCCTTTTCTAAATAAACACTCTCGAAAGCAACTAAAAAGGAGTCAATTTGTTTCAGATCAGCAAGGACTTGGTTGAAACGGCTGAGAAATGAAGAACAGCCAAAGTGCTGAGTGACCAGAAAAAAGGCCTGCAGCCCACATGTCTGTGTCAGGAGCACTGCAATGCTAGTTTTGTCAAACAGTCCACACCGTCTGCAGGGACTGAATAGTTCTCATCTAAAAGACATCACAGCGGATGTCAAGCATAGCAATCAAAAAGTTAACTTGTCATGGTGATATCTGGTTTCTGTGCAGATGCTGCAGTTGTGCTCGGGCTGTGCAAAATTGCAAAAATATGACACACAGCATTGATAAAGACGTTGCAGCACCTCAGACACGCACTGAATTCTAATGTATTTTTGAGTAGTTTCACTAAAAAAAATAAAAAAAAAACATGCCATTTTAAATAAGAGCAAAAAGAACATCATCGTACTTTGAGTCTACGCTATATTAAATTTCAGATTTATTCAAATGCTCAGTGATGTTTTTTAGGGCAATAAAAAGTTAATCAGCATCTGTCTTTTACAATAACATTCAGCCTTTAAACCCCGTATTAATAAAATACATATTAATACATTAAAAAATAATCACAGTAGGTTCTCATATACTCTTAATGTGGGCCTGAAATAAAAGCTTGCATCATGATACACTTTCTCTTCAATGATTGAAAGCAACAAAGTACATTCGTGGGGAACTTATACTGTATTTTACTATTTGACATTTATACTATATGTTTACACACTATGTTTTAACATAAAGTAGGTCCAGCATTTTATTGAAATATATGATCTAACATGTTAATACAGTATGTAAGGCAAAAACAGAGCTTGCACAATTGTAACAAGCTTGAAAGTGAATATTTGATCTGATCATCTTTAACTCTCTTAGCAGCATTCTTGTAATTTCTTTAAGTAGTCTTCAGGAATAGTTCTCCAGGGTTGTTGAAGGACTTTCAAAGCTCTTATTTGGATGTTGGCTGCCTTTTGTTCCTGTTCTCCATCAAGATGATCCCAAAATGCTTCAATAATGTTGAGATCTGGACTCTGAGGAGGCCAATCTGTGACTGATACTATTTCAATTTGTGCTTTTTCCATCCTAGACACTCACTGTTGTACCTCACTTCTGACCTCCTCCATTCATATTGATTATGATTTGAACAAAAAACTTCAAATGTGGACTCATTACTCTATGAGACCTATTGCCACTAATTTTCATTCCCATCCTTCTGTAATTCCGCAGACATGAGCTTTTGCTTCACGTTTTCCTACCTTAATAATGGTTTCTCGACAGCCATCCTTCCACTGAGACTACAAAGGGCCAGATGTGTCTCTCAGGCCCTGTGTCAAGTTGTTTTTCATTTGTTAAAGACATGACTTTTAGATATGACTCATACTTCATCATCATGTGGATACTTTTTAGGCCTGCCACTTCTTCTTTTGTCCTCCATTTGTCCAGTTTCCTCAACTTTTTTTAAGGATAGACTGCACAGCTCGCTGCGATCTGCCAGGTTTTTAGCTAATAGCGCCGTAAGAATCACCTTGTTGTTGCAAAAAGTAATATTTTGTGTATTTCAAACTATATTGTTAACACTTTTCATACAAATGACATTTTTTGACAGGCTAACAAAGGGCCAAACAATACAATTTAAAATTGGTTCTTTGTTGTAGTTTTCTGTGGGTAGATACAACACTGTTAATCCTGTAAGCTAAGAGCCTTTTTAAGCTTAAATGATTTATACCTCAGTGTTAAGTGGTTCATAAAAATACTCTGAAAATGGTCAGGTACAAGAGCTGCACTGAAAATAAGTAAAAAAGCAACCAATGTCAAAAGTCACTTTGAAAGACCTTCAGAAAGCCTGGAGAATTATTGCTCCCGACCATTAAAAAAAAAATTAGACATAGCCTGGGTACTTGGAAGCAACATATATAGAAAAGAGGGATGCCTCACAACGTTTGCACAGTAGTGCAGCCTCATTAGACTGTAGATTTTGTGTCACTACTCCATTAGTAATAATTACGGCACATTTTTCAACAACACAGTCACAGTTTGCCTGCAGTAAAGGCATTTCGAAAGGATTACCTATGTTCCTCGCCTCCAGCTCTTTTTCCATGAGTTCTTTCTGGGAGGGAAACTCACTGAGCTTGACCTTGGACATGGTGTCATTCTGACCGACTGTGCTTATCACTTCTGGCTCCTTCTCATGGCTGTCCTCAGTCTGGACGTGAACCCAAGGGATTTTCCTAAGAGACAGCAGAGCAATAAAGATGATTAGCTTTTGATTATCAAGTGAGTTCAACAGTATTTACTTCATTATCTCAGTAAACATACCTTTTGAACTTGTAGATGAAGAATGCAGCTAAACCAACAAACACCACGATGAGCAGCATCAGCATGGCCGACCCACTGGGAAGTGAGTTTGAGTCCACAAGTGGTGCTGAAAGCCAAACACCATAAATGAACACCAAACTTTTTACGTATGTGTTAAACCCATTCCTTTTTCCTAAACCATGTCCTATTCCAAGGATATTACTTCATTACCCAATGTCATGACGAGCATATCCCTACATGTTATCCCCTCAGGGCATAAAAAGCACCTTTAGGAGGTCCACTGCTTCTCTCCAGGGTTCATACTGCATGCAGCAGTAGCTTATGCATAGTCATGGCTTTATAAATGCTGAGATGCAATATTCAAAGTATTTCCTCTCACTGCCCATCTTTTTCCCCGTCACAGAGAAGCCTATGAAGTCTTTGACCTTTCCGGATCATTTTAAAGGCAACCCAGACCTTTGTATGCAGACACAAATGAAGACAGATCCATTGGTGGATGAAAAGGGTAAAGACACGCGAGGTGATCGACACGTTTTTACGATATGCTAATGACCCGGTGACCCTGTGAATTTCCCGTGCATATCAAACACCTGCTTTGTCAATCATGTGATTGATTGGCTGACTTCAAAGAGAGCTACTGTCTCATAGCCTCAGGTGCAAAACTGGCACTCTGTGAAGGATATTTAAATCCTGTGATATACAGCATCGTCCGTCTCTCAGGAAACACTTTGTCTTTTGCCTTGCTTTATTTTTTCAGAGCGTCGTTAAAATTCAATGTCAAACCAGTCTAACGAAGACACATCTTATCTAATGCTCTGTGGATCTGTAGACATGCTGTATCAATCTGCCGTAAAATAAGCCTAGGGCCTGTTTGAGTGTTTTGTTTTCACGTATCTCTAAAAGGGTTTCAATGTAACGACTGCTGAAGACTTACCCAGAGTTTGCTGAGTCATGTACACAATAATGCGAATGTCAGCTTTCAGTTCAAACTGGATCAGGCCTTGGTTCAGTGCAGTGACAAAAATATTTGATATCTGTCACAGGATTTTAACAAAAACACACAGAAAACACAAAGGTTTACATTAAAATTTCACAAACAAGCAAGACATTTTTGGAAAAGAAAAGATTGATACAATAATTAGCTCAGCTTAGCATAATGACCGGTGGCGCCATTGACTGGCTCTCTCCGTTGTTCAAAGATTCGCCCAATAATTAACACATTACAGTGCATTTCTCTCGCGTTTTGCACTTACTTTGTTTGAGTCCTAGCAAAATAAGCAGTCTGCAGATCTTTTGTGAGCTCAAAAGCTTTTGCTCAGAATCATTTAACAAAAATAAATAAAAATCAACTATTCTGACAAAAAGACAGGAGCCTGAGATGGAAGTGGCAGAACTGAAGATGTTAAGAGTTTTACTGAGGATGTAGTGAAGGAGGACGTGCAAGTGCTTTTGTGACAGAGGAGGATGCTAGGGATACGCTACAAGAAGAAGAAGGAAAACAGAAGAAATAAATACCAACTATGGAAACATGCATACCAACCACATGAACAAACAGTTAATCTTATTATCCTATTAACAGCCTTTAGGTCCTCTTAAATATCTAGCATAAATATAAATACAATGTATGTTTAATGTCCAGGAAACAGCAGCTCTACATAAAAGCTGACATGGTCTACATTATCGTGGCTCTTACCATCTCAAGAGCCGCTTCGCTCCCACTCTTGTGCTCAGTAGATGTCTGCTCATCAGGCAGAATAAAGAGCTCTGCTGTAGTTGGAAGCCCTGGATACAGAGATACCAGCAGCTGATCTTCATGAATCCCAGACACCTAGAGTGATGCGAAAACAGGACAGCCAGGTATGGCTTTACTCTGGAGGCTAAATTCACACTAAATAACGTGTCTCCTAAACAAAATAAAAGAAGAAAACACGGGTTACAAAACATCATGACTGCTGTGTCATTTTAGCGCACCCGTATAAAATAGTAATGACCCTGAAAGCCTTTGGTGTTCACTGTCAACTGCAGGAAAGATCTCTTAGGAACTGATGTACCTGTGATAGAGCTGTCCGCACCACACGGCCTATGTCCTCCCTCCATTCGGGGATGTCAGGATTGTGCTCATCAAGCGCTGGCGAAAACGACAACAGCAGTGACCTGAAGAACTCTGGAAAAAAGGTGAAGTGATGTCTGTTAGAATATTAACGCTACTTCTAGTTTAGGTTTTGATTAATCTGATGTGCAGTTTTGTCCTTTTTCATTTGGCAACATCTGCCTTGAAGTTAATTGCTCCTCGAGATTTCGTGTTCGCATACCGTGACATTTTATTCATTAGATAAGTCCACGTTGACATCAACGTGGCGAAGCTTGCAGCGCTGACCGAGAGGCAACACACTTTCCCTGAGATAGCATATTGCATATTCATGTAACAGGCATCTCTCCAATTAAAGTGCTTTGAAGACTGTCTCCCCCACTCACCTTTAACAGTTATAACTTTTGAATCCTGCATTACAGTGCTCCCAGAAGCAACCTGGACCATGACCTTGCTTTTTCCTTCGCTCTGAAATGTGTGTGAGATGCTTCCCTCCAAGGTTATAATGGGCTGGATTTCAAAAGGAAAAAACACAGAGAAATGCACAGAAAAAGCTGCATCCTCATGGCTGAATATAGAACACTACGTATATCTACTGTATAATGAGGGGATGCTGCGCTGAACACAATCAATCTCAGGCAAATATAATCAACCATCCAAGCTGGATCCTCCAGAATGGCACAGGGCAGTCACATACTGTCACTTTTTACATGATTTGTGGGGAGATCTGTGTAGATTTACACTTTTAGATTACAACCAAGAGCACAAAGACATCAAGAGAGGAGTGGGAAGATGGGGGAAAAAGCAGCAGTAAAAAGGATAAATGCCTTGTGTGTATAGGAGAATGGTGGGAGGAGGTGGAGGAGGAGAAGCGTCTCACCTCAGAGCTGTTGTCAAACCACCAGAAGAAGGTCAATGTTCTGGTGTGGCTCGGCCAAACCACTGCAGTCAGATTAGCCTCCTTCCCCCTGACGGCTACAATGGGAGCGGAGAGATACACCCGCTCTAGTGGACCTGCGGCGATGACAAATACGCCATCATATATCCATACATGCATCGAATGAATGCAGCCAGCAAGAAAAGTATTATTGTGATCGCAGTTGATGTACATTTAGCTTCGGGTGTGTGCTTTTGCATTTTTCAAGGTTAAAATGCATAAAAGTAGTAAAACCATGACTGAAATGTAATTCAGCAGAGTGGGAACGTGACTATCCATGAAAGAGAAGAGGTTTATGCTATCTGCACAGCCTCAGGAATCAGTAATGATGTTTCTTATTCACATACTGGTGATGTGTAAAAACAGTGTGCTGCTGTCAGATCCTTGGCTGTTTTCTGCAGTAGCTGTCACGCGGTAAATCCCAGTCGTTCTGTAGATGTGCTTGATGCCATCATCCGCCCTGCTCAGGTTAGAGTACGTGATCTTGATGCCATCTCCAAAGTCTAGCTGGATGCTGGTCCTCAGCGAGTCTCCCTGTGGACAGATGGTATTACATAGCATCTGTCATCATGGCTTAGGTCAGGATACTTTCACTTGGACCACATGCAAGGGAAGAACGATCAGTCTGCCGCTGAAGTGCTGGAGCTGAGATGTCATATAGGCTGTGTCATAAACACTTTGAAGGTGGATATGAATGGAAAAAGACAGAAATTCAGCAGAGAAAACAAGTGGAAATGTGAAAAGAGAGACGCAGAGGCAAAAAAGGTCATGAAAGAGTCCCAAAGTAAGATGGAGGAGTTTATAATCTGGTGTCATTTTTCCAGCTGATCACTCAAAAACAGACACATTGCCATCACCAAAGTGTTTTTCATACAAATTACAGAAACTTTAACAACAAACTTTTGGTTTTATTACTCAGGCTTTGGGCTATCTGTAGTGAGATGCCACGCTGAAACAAAAGATCAAATACACTTCATTTGTGGTGATCAAAGCAATGAAAAATTGCACTTTAAAAACATTCAGCAACACCCTGTCAGGCATTTCAGAAGAATCTAGTTCCAATTAAATTAGTTAACAATAAGATCTCAGGACTAACTTCTTCCTTAACTAACCTCAAGTTGTTTCTTTTTCTTACATTTAATGAACTTAAAAAAAGGTGCAAATCTATGTTATGTTAAAAGAGGTAAATTTGAGTGGAACAGGGAACAAGGAAAAACAATGTTTGAGGTGATATTTCATAAATACATCCATTTTTCAGGCTAAAGGGTTTTTTGTTTTTTTTTTGATAACCTTCGAGTTAAAGCTGTTCAAGTTTTTGGGCAATCTATGTAAATCCTACAAGGTACACACATTGCATTCAGATCTGGTTTTTGGTGCAGTAATGTGCTGCTGTGAATATATTAGTCATAAATAGATCAACATTGTATATATTAGTATTTTGAATATCACACTTTTCTTTTTTTCTGCATTTGTCTTTTGAAAAAATCAATACATATTTCCCAGAAGAGAAGTCTTACAAAATATTCCTGAGAATAATTTGAGATTTCAGATTACTTTTAAATGAGGTCTCCATTTTTTCTGTGGTTGGTAACTACCATCATCATTTCCAGTTCCATCCATTTTTATAACTGCTTATCCAATTCTGGGTAGTGGAGGAGGGGGCTTAAATTGACGTTCTTTTCTTTGGGTTAGGGTTAGGAAAATGAAACAATGAACACCTCGGAAGAAATGAAGAAACCGTCTTCCTTTCTTTTATGCAGTCTTTTCTACCACTGGCTATTATATATATTTTTTCTCTCTCCTCCAAAATGAATCTCAGTCGTGCCTCATGGAGAACTGGATGATGATTCCTCGTAGGCTCCCAGTTCCCGCCGAGCGAGCCAGACCGATTGACGACATCTGGAATCCGATGCTGTTTTCTGGCAGACGATGACGACATCAGCTCAAATAGCTTCTTCAATCTCTTAAACTCATCTGAACTGATGCAGATCCTATTGCCTTTCACATCATGATATTGTAACATGCTGCTTTTCCAGCCCCTCCGTTTTCTGCTTTGTCTATCTTTTTAAACAAGCTTATATACGTTTCCTTTCTGGAATCAACTGTACATCAGTTGTTCTATTTGCTGTCCTCTCTGTTGCATACTTTACTATAAATTATGCTTTGTAAGGTGACCTTGATTGTCAGCGCCATTTAGTAAAGTTTTTTATTATTACAATCAACTCTGAAACCAGTTTTCACATTTTTCTTTTACATCTTTTACGCCCCTAATTATTTCAGATCATTTATGCTAGCCCGTAGGCCATCATTAATTGAGAATAACATCCTTTGTAAATGTGTCCATCTCCAGCAAGGCACACTGTTTCTTACAGGTTTTAATAGGAGGTTCAGTTTGTCACCATAAATTATATTTAAACAACAAAATATAGTAGCTGAAAAAGAGGACATAGATTGTCTGATTTAATGGGCACTTGAGCAGATATTTTCTTTAAAATTTGCTCCTACCACCACCTACCACACACAAATGGAAAAGTATTCATCATATCATCCTCACTTCTATATAACATCAAGACAAAAGTACATGAGTCATTCATTTAGCTTAGGAATTAGGGAAAAAAAGCAGGAGAGCGCTAGCCTGAGTTTGGTTCATTATGCAATATCTGCTTCTTCTTACACTGCAGTGACTTTTAGGTGTAATAACTCACCTCATTGAGGGAGACCATAAAAGTAACGTTGCTTCCAACAGGGGAACTGAGCTCTCCCTGACTGGTAGACAGCTGGAGGCCTCGGGGTGCTCTGGGACGACACGGCTGCCTCCTGGGCGAGTACACATTCCTCCCTGCCTCCTTACAATTATTGGACAAAACCTTCCGATACCTTTTTAGCATAGAGTAAGTAAAGAGCACTGTCACATCACATAACAGAACCCAGCATTAGATACATGTTTTACTAGTTTTCAAAAAAAAAAAAAAAGACTTAACTGTTAAGTGCCAGTAAATTTTCATACAGCTCACAGCTATTTACAAAAAGTGGGGAAAAAATGTTTTTCCCAAAAGATTTTTTTTCTTTGTTCACCACAATCACATTTATTTTTTATTTATTTCCGCTTGGAAGATGCTCCTCAGTTTTATTTCTGCAATTTAGTGCAGGAAAATAGCACCCAGCAACAGCACATACTGTGCATATGGCAGGCTGAAATACAGACCTCTATGAGCACACTTAATTTTGTCAGTTTCCTGAATGTAAAAAAGCTTCATAACCAAAAACCTGTTTTGAATTATTATACATTATGAATTATTATATATTTTAGAATTGGGAAATAATGCAGATTGGGCCCTCAGAGCCCTATTTCTCAACCAATAGGAAGTAAACTATTATTTTCTGTTTATGTACTACACAACATGACAAAAAAGGTGTAATGGGATATTGTTTTGTGATGGACTGAACATTGGGGGCCACTTACCCTGTGCTGTTTAGGAAGCTTTGGCTGGTGCTGCAGCTTTTAGCCGCACCGTTTGGATTAAACCAAAAAGCAGGGGAGCAATTCCCATCTGCCTGGCGCTCCCATCCATAATCACTGCCAAAGCAAAGCAAAACAAAACAAAACAAAAAAAAAGTCATGAAATGATAAACACTGCTACTCAGAGTAATCTAGCTATGCAAGCTTTTGTAGTGGGGCAAATGCTTTGCATTTGGAGCTTCGTGGCATATTTTAAGACCATAACTAGAGACATGATTGTCAGACATGTGGGATCAAACAGAATTTCAGACAGATGGATAAAAGATATTTAAAATTCATTTAACGATCCATTATTAATTGAATTCTAATAAGTCACTTGACATTATGCAAATCACAGCAGCGCGATGAAAAGTTCTTAACTCCGATCCATATTTTTCAAACTATAATTATATCCAATGAACAGAGTCATATTGGTTATTCTGTAAATATGCCATGTAAGAGGGATATTAAGCCTTATGAAGTTCTGCAAACTGATACTTTTGTTCTTTTATTACAGCCCTAATTACGCACAACTGAATTAGATGTTCAAAGTAGAGAGGCTGTTTGGTAAACATGTGATGAAAGAAATTAAGAGTCACTGGGGATAAAAAAAAAAGTGAGTTACAATATATTCCCTGCTAGGAACACTGAATATAAGCCATTACCATTCAAAATCATAAGCTGTGCACGGGCATGGCTCTGAGGAATAGATCCTGGAATAGTCTTGGGCCAGCATGCAACGGTTGCCAGGCCTGCGCTTCATATAGATCTGCTTCTCACCCATCACACAGAGCTCTCCCTATATCACAAAGAAGGAAAGAAAAAAAGCTTGTCTTCTTTTTCACAAGTCTGAAAGAAACAAATGTGCAAACACGCGCTCGAATCATTAATAAATCAGAAGTGATTAATAATCCTGTTACCTTGTTGTGCAGGTACCATGTCTGATAATCTCCATCCATGCATCTCCTGCTAAAGAGGCCTTTGTAGTCAATCTTAATCAGTTGCCACTCTGACCGATGGCTGAAGTGCCCAAAGAAACTGAAAGATGATGCATAAGAAAAGCAAGATTATCTTGAGACATAGACACGCAGTTTTCTGATATCATATTCAGCACCAGTCTGTAATTAATGTTAACAGGCAACATAAAATTCCTCTCGATTAAAAGTCTAAGTTAATCTGTTGAACCTTTCCTTGTTTATATCAACACAAGAGTTAATTCTTCAGATCTGATATTGTTCTATTCCTCTTGGACGCTACCCATGTGTCTCCTTACGTGATAATATGATTGTCAGACTCTGGCTCCATTAAAACTCCATCCACATACAGAGGAGCCAAGGAGAAGCTGTGGCGGTCCCATTTCTTTCCTTCATCTAGACTGATCCTGCGTAAAGGAAGACAACAACTGTCAGTGGACGAATATCTACCTACCGTTGTTTATCTATCTGTAGTAGATAAAATTATTGTTTTCTCCGTGCGTGTAACATTAAACATCACGAGCACACAGGTTACAGAAAGAAAAAGCAAGAACAAAGAAATATGATAAAAGATTTGAGTTCATTTAGCTTTTGCCACGGGTGAAAAATGAAGCACCTTGAATTCTCTTCAATGTGAAAAATTATCTTGACAACAGACTGAACAATAGAACAAATGTTCCTTGGCCCAGGTAGATTTTTGAAGGTGACAACAGAAAAGAGAGATATGACTCAGGTTGTAACATTAGAAATAGATTTGGGGGGTTTCAAATCACCTCTCTCGGAGCTTAATCACATTTGACAGGGCTGTAGTGTGCAGGGACATCAAAGTAGATAGTGTTACAGAGCTCCCACAATATGAGGGACTTATGAGGGCATTCTGAGTCTCATATTTCCACCCTGCTCTACTCCTCATTTACATAAAAGCACTCAAACCATCATATCCAACCACGAGTACAAAGCTGTAACAGACTCTCTTCGCTGGAAATGACTCTGACAGTTCTGAAGCTGCAGCACCGATACAATAATCATGCAAACTTGGCCCATCAGCATTTTAAAACATTAAATATAATCATATGCAGCAACCCCCCACCAACAAAATTGCACTCGTGTAATTTCCCACTACAACCCCAACACCTACAGTTTCTATCTACAGTATTTTTGGGGTTAGAGATTACTGAAGCAACTTATACCTACCATATGTGTCGAATTGGCGCCGCTGCTTGCAATACCGCCAACAAAGCTCCTCCATTGTCAAGAAACCAAACGTTGTACTCTTCATCAAAAATCTGAATCGGTAAATTTGAAAAAGAGACACATTTGCTCATTTTATTAGGCAACACCATTCTTTAAGGTAACCATGCAAAGCGTGTCATGGATGTCACCTGTCTCCAGCTATTTCCTGCGTCAGATGTTATAAACATCCCAAGGTTGGCGGAGGACAGCTGTGTTCCAATATTCCCTGAGTCCAAAAACATGCATAATTTCAGTCAGTATTTACATAGCAAAGCCTCACTATAGCTCATAACTCACCTATGTGCACAATCAGCTGATAGAAATCACTCAGAAACTATGTATGTTCACATTTCCCACTGCAGGAAAATGACAGTTTACGACTTAGCCTGATCTAATCATCTCACCTGAAATATCAGATTTAGTCTGAGAAGTTTTCATATTTGACTTCAATGACATAAAGAGGGCACTGTGTGATTAATTGTGTGTCAGCTGAACTGCTACAATGTATTTACCTGAAAAACAATGGATAGCTACAATACTGTGCAAAAGTCTTGAGGCATGGCTCATTTCTTTATATTTGGCTGCAGAGGATACGGGACTGTCTTGCAATTTTTATAGGGGTCGTCACCGATAGGTCTCCAGGCTGTCTGAAGGTATTTCATAGATTGCCTTTGGACATTGGCTGCAATCGTTCTCCTTTTCAGTCCAGTTTTTGTGCCTGACCATTTTCAGCAATAAAAGAAGTACCTTACCCAAAACATGAACCACTGTTGTGTCTCCACATCAGTGGAAGCAAGGGACCAATTTTAAACTATTATCGTTAGCAATTTTGTCACAATATCATGCAATTTATTCTGAGTTCTTTAGTTGAATCTACAAAAAATGTCAAAGATAACACATTTCGACAGGTATAAAGTAGTAAATGAAAAAGGGAGAAAAGCCTGAGGTTTGTCAAATTACGCAACACCTGAATGGGTCTGGATAGCAATGACACTTACCAGTGAAATTGTTTCAAATTCCTCTCATCTCCTCAAATTCTCAATATTATCAACATGTGTGGAGGAGGTCAGGAAAGAGGTACTACACTGAGTGTCTTATACTAATCTGTAAAACATGGTGGAGACTCTGTAATGGTTTACCACAGCATTGAGGATCTTCTCAAAACTGATGAAATTATGAACACAGAAAAGTACACATTTCAATTCACCATGCAACACCATCCGCAAAGTGTCTGGAAAACAACGGCTTCATTTTTCAGCATGACAGTGATCCCAAACACACTGTCAATATAAAAAAAACATACCTGGGTAAAAAAACAGACCGTGGAATACCATCAGCCATGGATTGGCCTCCCTAAATCCCAGACCTCAACATTAGTGAAGCCATGTGGGATCATCTTGACAGAGAATGGAACAAAAGGCATCCAACATCCAAAGAAGAAACCTGGAGAAGTATTCCTCTATACTACTTAAGGAAATGATAAGGAAGCTTGCCTAACAGAGCTCAGACTTTGTTGAAGTTCAAATTAACTTCTGACTTTCAAGCTCGAACGAACTGTACGAACTCTGTGCTTCTATATTTAATTTCCATATAAATGTGCACATGTTTCAGTTCTCCAGTGCACCTATCTCCTATTTTTCTATCAAATTATTTAAAAAAATGAGAGGAGACTCAAGACTTTTGCACAGCACCTTAAATTCATGTCCTAATGTAACTCTACCTGTAGCCACAATGATTCCTGGAACAGACTTTTTGCTGGTGATTGGTCCGGATGTGTAAGGATTCTCTGACATCTCCAGTTGAAGATGCAGTGAGCAAAATGGCTGTCAACAAAACGGATTCAAATACAGCACAAGTTGAAACAATATATATCTCAGATCTTAACAGCAGCAATTATAATTAGCTCGGCTTTCAAACTATTCTTCCCGTTGAGCGAAAAGTGCTAACATTTTCAGACACCATTTATAAAACAAAGATACTTTGTTCCTCTCATCTCCTCTGCTAGGAGGGAAAAAATGGCTGAGAGGACACAGAGGGCATTTGAATTGTTTCATTCTAAAGCAAACAAGGCATGTAATTAAAATTCCCCAAGATGCACTGATAAAAATGGCAAAATTGATTCAAATCATTTCACTCATCTCCCCGAATAAAGCGTACCGAAAAACATCAATAAGGCTTTTCATACGGCTGAGGTTGGAGGAGGGGGTCAGGAAACAGAAGAGAGCATAGTGGTCATTTGTAAGACACACAGAAAGACTATAGCCTGCTATTAATTGAGGAATGTACATGACTTTAAATGGTCTCTGAAGAACATATTGACTGGATTAGGTGAACATCATACCTGCTGAAAAACAACACAGCCACATAATGTAATTCAGTGCAATCTAACTTTCATTAGTCCTGTTTGACTACAGGTACTAAATTGAAATTTCAGAGGTTAATGGAAAGTCTAGACCCCTAAAATGTAATGCAATGACACTCTGTGACTTAAACTGATAATAAGAATATTCCAACAAAGCATCTTTTCAGTCATTTAGGGGACTAAAAAGACAAGTCGATGCTAAGGCTGGCACCTGGCCTGGTGCAAAAATGGCTTTGTCTCCAAGAACATCCAAAACACAGCTGATGAGGCTGAAACATTTGAGGAATGTTTCATGTCATAGACTTAATTTTGCATGAATAAGAGCATTCATTCACTCCTGCCCAAAGGCTCAAGCTCACCAGAATGCAGTGAAGGTTATTTCCAGCCACATCAGTGGCAGGAGCTGGCAGCAGGGACCATGTTTGCCCCTTGTTGTATGTGATGAAAGTCTTTATGTAATTATCCACCAGTTTGTTGGCAAGATACATGCCATTTATCCCCTCAACCTAAGAGGGAAAACAACAAAAATGCATTCATTACTGTCTAAGCCCTTTTCACTTCTAGTTTAGAAAATCAATCTATAATTATTGACTCAGTGGAAGCAGGCTGAAAATACATGGCACTGTAAAAAAAAAAAACCCTCCATGAAAGGATATTTCATGTTTTGAAAAGTGTTCTTTAAAAGTACAGCATTATGAGCAAAATATGTAAAGTTTTATTCTTAATAATTCAAAACAGCTTTAAATAGTTTACCGTGTAACGATGCACCATATTTTAGTAGCTGTTCAGACAAAATATACTGCCAACAAAATTCAGATTTTTAATTATAAAAATGTATTATTAGGATGTTAATGGATTAAAACCTACTATATAATGACAGCTTCATAAATTAACAGTTCTCCAGCACAGTAACAGGAAAGGGAGTAAGTGGTGGAGTGCCAAAATCAGTCCATAAACAAGGCTAACTACACACCTTATAAAAGTCCACTAGTAGATTACCCGCAGGTCCTCTGCTGGTTCTCAGGTTCTCTAATGAAAGGATAAAGTAGACCCCGGGAGAGTCTGAGATATACAGGCTGTAAGTGTTGTTCTGATTCCACTCTTGGACAGCAGCAAATACCTGCTTCTCATCTGTGCTGATAATATGCATGTCCTGTAGTAGGATGTGTGCAAGAGAAAAATAGACAGATGGAAAGACAACAACAAACACAAAATAGTCTCAGAAGAGATGGCATTAAAAGGCTTAAATGTGACATTTCTTCATAAAAGTCATGTGACCTAACCCTTAAAACAAAAAGCAACAAAGGTGATTTGAAACAATAACAATATCTTTTCTTTTTCTTAAATATCAAACACTTTTAGGATGCAGTTGTTATTTCTGTTGCTCACCTTTGGCAGACAATATTTAGGTAATTTCATCCGCTTGAATGATTCTCTCATGTAGGAGACAAAGTAGCTGGCTCGTCCTGACTTGGTTACCTTTGCAATGAAGGCAGAAAAGCTTTGTCACTCTGTAATCAGATCACATGCACTGTATATACCCCTGTGTCAAGAAGATACATCATATTTGGAAGTTATTTTTTCACAATAATACAAAAAGAAAAGAAATTTAATTCAGTGGAATTTATTTGCACATTCCCATTATAGCCGTTGCTGTTGGTATGATTTTCTCCTACATAGAAAAGCCTATGTAGACCATCAGACAAATGAAAACCAAACTGAGATGGGAGGTGTTTACAAGACATACAGTACAGTGAAAAAGGTGCAGAAAGTAAAGTGAAAGTCGTTTTCATCAGTAGCTAAAATGCCGTAAAAAAAAGGAAAAAAAATCCTTTTACTGTGGCCATCGTTTTCTTTTAAAACAGCACTCTCCTCGGTACGCTTGCAAACACTTTTTCAAGGTACTAGGTTATTCAAAGCATGTTGCCGAACATGCCAAACATTGCTCCTATGGATTCTCTTTTATTGGGGATTATATCTCTTTGTATAATCCTTGACCAAACCATCTCCTAGTGGAAATTGTGAAAAAATGCAATGGTACACTTACTTGTTTTTTTTTTTTTGCTGTTTTTTCAGGAGGCAGCATATGTACTCAGCAGGGTTGTCAAAAAAAATGGCACGTGCATGCTAATTGATACTAAAAATTACTATCAGGTTACATACTCCTTTAATGCAGTATTGATATCAATAGTGTCACCTATGCCTCCTTCAGGTGTCATAGAGCTTCACACAGCACTGTTGCAGAGGCACACAGCCCCTCCCCTCACTAGCAGCTAAACACATAAATAGCATAACAAACTTGGCAAAGCATCTGAAAGACTGATGTCCCACTCTTCAGGAGGTCAGTGAAGCTCCTGTTCCAACAGCACTTTAGTATTGAACAGTTATCATAAATTTGAACTTGTTAACAGATCTTAACGTATGCTGTTTAGCTAACACTAGTTACCCACATTATCAATAAGCTAGCAGCTAGCAGCTATGGTCAATAGTAAAACAATGCTTTAAACCTTATCTTTAGCAAACCTCATCAGTTCTGCCTATCTGTAACAGGATAGCAATTATTTGTGACTAAATTTTTGTTGTTTCTGTAAAAGTCCCAGACTGAAGCTGGGAAACAGACAGAAAGAGTAGCAGTCTAGCTCTGACTGAAAATGAAAACATGATTCTAAATCACCTGAAAGACGTAAAATAAACAGGTTTGAAGCTGAATACATCTGCATGAACCACTATTTTTTAAAAATCTTTTTATTAAAAAAAAATACATATGTAAAAAATATAAATATATAATAAAAAAATATTTTTCTGGGTATCGAATTTTAAATTCAACCTCTCTCTGACTATATGTTTAAGTTTGCCATAATGCTACAAATTGAATCTGGAGCCAATCAAAAGCCTCCTCGACTGTACTATATGACACACAGATATCAAACCAATTACAGTACCTAATATTTTGTACAGCAATGCATGAGAGTTGGACAGCACCCCACTCTGTTGTGAAAAGAGGGCATGCAGAGACTTCTATCGAAGGTGGTATATGAACACTGCTTTCCAGAGTGTTGAAAGCAGACAAAAATTAAGCACAACAGAAATTACTGTCATTATCTCAATTAGTGTAAGGCTAAGAGGCACTGAAAATTGTGCTGGCTTTATCTACAGTGTTTCTTGGAGATCTTAATGCACTACCACTTTCCCTTCCACTTACAGGCAGAGCAACACTACTTGATTGCTTATTTTCTAATCAACTAGAAGGATGGTGTTTGTCCCCCAACACACTACATTAGGACCCTAATGGAATAATCTATCGAAAATCAATGAGCTGCATTTTCCCAGGCCACATTTTTGAGGATGTTGCACTTGGCTGTTCCTTCCCTCCCAAGAGACTTTGGAGGTGTTGAAGACTGCTTATTTCGTTGTAGCCCAATCGATAACCTCATTACTCTTTGTCAAGTTAAATCCAACTGCCCCAAGCAATGAAAGTCACAAGAAAGTCATCTGTGCCACCAGATCTCCGTGCAGACACTCCCTGTATGTCCAGTTATTTTCACCAGCATCTTCCTCGTGTCTGCCTCTGCCTTGACGGTCAATCTCATCTCAGCTAAATGCAATTTGGGCTTTTTATTGAATCACCATTTCTGAATCACACTGTGATTTTTTTTTTTCATACAGTTTCATTCTTACACTGTAGCCATTCCAATCAAGTCATTGGATTAAATGTGTTGAAAGTGAAACTAGGTCACTGCTAGCATTGCTGCTGCAACATCATATCATATCAAAAGATTAAATCTGTGAATAAATAAATAAAAATGAACAGAAAATATTTAGGGGTGTTTATTTAAAATGAAAGCAGCCACAGAAAAGTAGTATAATTAGATTTTTTTTATTTTCCCCAAATTCAGTTAGTACAGTCAAGGATGACCAAAATGCATCAAGCCTGACCAGCAAGAGAAAATTGCATAGCTGTGGATGGAAATCAATGACAGTGGAGGGCATTTGAAAATTAAATTTTCTAATAATGACCCTGGCTGTGGCTGTCTAATTGGAGTCAAAGTCAGAGTGAATGATAATAAGGACATCAACCTGTCTATTCACAGTTCCTTTGCCGTACATTTTTCAGGCATGGAGTATGTCTGTGTGGAAACTCAAAGACTGAGCGTGCCTTGACATGAACGAGACAAAACATAATCAAAACACACATCGGGCCAGTGGGGAACAGGTGTGTTGGAGAAAGCTATTACATGGGTTTTGATGGAAAAGGATGAATTGGGTGCACATGAGAGCAAAATAAAAACAAATGACAATGAAAAAAAAAAAAAAAAATCAAAAAAATCACATAGACAGCAACCTTTGCATGAAAAGATGCCGACGACTGGCTTAGTTTAATCGAGGAAAGTAATCTATCACTATGCAAACCTGTGTGAAAACGTATTCATCCTGTACGACGAGTGAGTTGGTGTCTACGTGTCCAGGGAAGAGGTACTGTCTGTTGCCTTCTGTGCATCGCTGGGCTCTGCACTTCACATACTGAGCACCTGGAAAGAGACAAAAGGAAATCAATCAGAAGTTGATTACAACCATTTATCTTCAAACAGTACTTTGTATGCAGTGGAGCTGCTATACAGTATGTAAATCCAAAATCCACTCCAAGTTCATCGCTCTGGAACAATTTTCAGCTTGTGTAACAGTCAAACACTGACACTAGTCACCAAATACTTTTTAAATCCAAATTAGATTCAAGACTATTAGAGTCAAAGCTCTGGCAGCGTTACACGACAAAGTACATTTCAAGATGTTATTGTGCCAGACAAGGAGAGGTTGTATGGTAATTCTGATACACATTTTCTCACCACAGGAGGAATATGAGCATCATTTCTAATGCAGGAGATTCCTTTAATTGGTTTGACAGAATAGACCACGCTGTTTAGAAAGGGGAAGCTGAGGTTTGTCTATGAAACTCAGGGGGGAGATTAACGAGAAGAAACATCCATCAGCCCACTAAAATTCTCCGTTTTTGTCAGGAGACACCTATTCTGCTTTACTAGACTTCAGGGACCAATCTGAACAGAAGAACAGGTCTCATCTTGCCCGTGACCTCGCTCTAAATGAGAGGCAAGGGGTCCTTTGGGTCTTGCTACTGCAGCAAACTGGAGTGCAGTACTCACGGCCTTTTCCGATGCGCGTCTCAATGTGGACCACATCTGATTCTCTGTCCAGCCCCATTACCGCCCTTGAAAGAAGAAGAGGAGGAGAAAATAAAGAGGAGCGGAAAAAGGTTGGTGGGTAAGAAAAGGAAAAAAATGTGAAAAGAAGAAGAAAAAGAAAAAAGGGAAGGCTCAGATGGACATCACTATTCTGTGAAACCCATAACAATATGTTTTTATTTCCTGTAGATCTGTGCCACCAGCGGCAATTAATCTCAATTCACCAACAACAAAGGAAACGGCAAAAGAAGAGTAGTATGGCAGGGGGGGGCTTGACAAAACATCCCCCATTCCCATAAACACATGCCATGGCAAATGTGTGTTTTTACAAAATTGTAGGAGGCTCCAGCCTTATTTTGAAAAATAACTATTTGGCATAATGTGCATGAAGAAATAGTATTCAAGTGGACAAATAATGCATTGTTTCGGGTGCTGCTTCACCCGCTGCGCTCTTATTCATCAAACATCTAACTGTTCATGCATGTGGAGAGGATGTCCTCCAACCAATGTCCTTTCTTTCCCAGCAAAAAACAAAAAACCCACTGGGTTTGACACATGCCATGACAAACAGGGATAAACGGCCTCACATCAATATTCACTGCCTTGTGCCCGCACAGTCAAGATTACTAAATGACAGCGACAACAAAAACAGCATGTCATGTTTGTGCTATGGACAAAGAAACATATTCCTTCAGGTCTACGTGACGTGGATATAATCAGTTTCGAGCTCGACTGCTGTGAGAGAGATCTGCTTTTGACTAGAGGTCACAGGATCCCTCTAAGACTATAGAGTCGTGAACACTCTGATGATGCAAATTGCAATCACTGTACAGATGGAGTTAAAAAGAAAGACGGGGGTCGACATAATCATACCAGTAGAATCTGCCTGGCATCACGTTGTCATGAACAAGCTGCCATTTCCTCCCAAAGTCCATCGAACTGTACAGCTGCAAGACAAAAACAGGCTGATCTTCATCACGCTTAAAATTTTCAGGAATAAGATGTTACTGAGCATTGTACATTATTTTATTCCCACTTTAAGTTTCATTGTGGATTCACTCAGAATATACCTTGCTGTCATGACTATAGGCGAGTATCCAGTTCTCCTGCGCGGGATGGAAGAGCAGGCTCAGGATGTTGAAGTTAATGGGATGCTTTTCAAAGCTCGCCCCTTCATCTGAACTGATGAGAACAGCGCTCTCTACTTCTGGGTCACTAAGCACCATTATCTAAAGTACAAAGGGCCAGATGATGTGTATTTATATACACACACATATACATGTATGTGTAAGTGAGAGAGAGAGCACCATTTAAAAAATAATAATAATAAATTTCACGCCAGGAAGATGTAATAAGCAACAGGTAAATGCTAACCTTCTGTTTGTTGGTAGGGCAGACGTAGAGGTAACTTAAAACTGTCCTTGAACCCACTTTGTCGTTGAGTTTGGTGTAGGTGCTCCCATAATCAGTGGATCTGGACACAAACAAAAAACATTTCATGTCTGATGAAAAAAATCCATTAGAGACAAATTTGAAAGCCCCATAGCAGAGTGTTGGGATGTTTTAGCCCATTAACTGCAAGTCACTTATTCTTTAGAAGACTCCAGAGTATACCATACTTTTTTCGATTGATTTTCTACCATTCGGGCAGCCTTTTGCTTTAAGGGATGAAAATCTACTTGCACAGTCTACATTCATGCTAATGTAGGTTTTGTTGCTCCTGTAAAGTGCTGCGTTAAAAAACACCGCTACACTAAAAACTGCCATTCATTGCAGCTCAGATTATAAAAGGACTAAATGTGTAATGTAATCAGAGGGTGGTGTTTGGCTGAAAAGCAGGGCTTTCAAGTAGTAAGTGTAGAGCTAATTTTTACAGAAATATGCTGGATAAAAAGATAAAATTAATCACTGCTAAAAGTAACCCCACGGTGCTTTTAGCAAGTAGTGAGCGGGCGTCTATTTTGTTTGTTTGTATCTTAGGCTTCAGGCAGCCACGCCAAGTATTTTGAGTGGTAAGTAGCAAAACCCAGCTTTGAAAGCAAGATGCTGAGTCACATACAAATTTGCACAGCAGTGTACATGCATATAAATAAATATAAATAAAAGTTAAAGCTTTGAAGTCAGCTTTAATTTAATTTGCTCTAACTAGCTGCAACATCTGCCTATTATTTTTGAAAATACAATTTCAGTATTTATATAAATATTTCCAAAACTTTAATTTGCTCTCCAGGCTGTGGAGCCTAAATTGCAGATAACTTGGCAACTAATCACTTGTGTTCCAAGGGGGAAGCTACGTTTTAATTTCTCTACAATTGCACTCACTAGCCACTTTATTAGTTACACCTGTTCAGCTGCTCGTTAACGCAAATATCTAATCAGCCGATCAAGTCAGTGCATTTAGGTGTGCAGAGATGTTCACACTGAGCATCAGAATTGGGGAGAAATTTGATTTAAGTAACTTTGAATGGAGCATGGCTGTTGGTGCCAGATGGGCTGGTCTGAATATTTAAAAAATTTAGAGTACTTGGGTATTCCCATGGTATGGTCAGAATTTGGGGTAAACAACATGAAAACATGGATTCATCCTACCTTGTATCAATGCTTCAAGCTTCTGGTGGTGTAATGGTGTCGGGATACTTTCTTGGCACACTTTGGGCCCCCTAGTACCAACTGGCAATCATTTAAACACCACAGTCTACCTGAGTATTGTCGCTGACCAGCAGAGTGGCAGAACTCAAATTATTTCAAACTGGTTTCCTGAACATAAAAAAATGGCTTCCATAGTCTCCAGATCTTAATCCAGTACAGCACCTTTGGGATGTGGCAGAAATCTGCATCAAATGTGTGATCTTATCATGTCAGTATGGACCACAATCTCTGAGGAGTGTTTCCAGTAGAATTAAGGCAGGAAAAGTCTGTTTTCTCTTTGACCCTTTGTTAAGATTAACTTTTGTTTAAGCATCAAAACTTATCAAAGGTTTTTAACAGCATTTAGGACAGGTGAAGAAGACAGCCAAGTCATTTTTGAGGCCTCCCTGGCTAGCTGTTGAAGGATTTGTATGCATGTGATAGAGGATTTTCCTGATTTTCCTTCTTAAATACTGCCAACTTCTTCCCGCATCACAATGTGAAGAAAGAATCTTCCAAAAACGTCCTTGTAACTTTGGAATTTTCACTCCACCTTCAACCCTAAAAAGTCCAAATAGCTCATCCTTAATTATAGCAGCTCTTACCAGTACCCCTTTTCCACCTCCACCTCCGCCCGGTGCACTTTGTGTTTAGTAATCCAGCCACGGACACATCCGTCTGCTCCAAAAACAGTCACTGTCATTTCATCTTATTCTTGTTCAGCCAGAACTGGAGGGGTTACCCACATTCTTCTGCATTTAATTTGTGCCATTTGTAACTACACACTTTATTATTTGTTAGTCACTCAAAGAGGTTTTGCAAACATCTAAAAGTCACTGCATGGTTTTTGATATTTCCCTGTTATTTAAATCTCGTCGTGGGCTACCTGAGATAATTAATTTGTCCAGTAATTATGAACACCTTAATAAACAGTGTGAATCAATTTAGCCTGCTCCCTCTCATATTACAGAAATATCACCTGAAAATGATAAACAGCAACAAGCTTTTAGGCTTATATGTTTTGGAGTTGGAAAGTGTGCATAGCAATTACTATATGATGAATACTAACCTGCCAAGTGATTGTGCATGCAGTGTAGTTATATGAAGAATGATATGTAATTTAGCAACAACAAGTATGCAAGAGACAGGATATGTATTATCACTGCTGACAAACATGCTATTAGTAGGCAATACAAATGCATGCTGCATGAAAGCTGTAAAAACAAGAAGGAACAGCTGAAATACAAAAAAGGTGCAGTGAAGGATGACATCAGCTAGTGAAAGTGAAGCCACTGTTGAAGCAAATTAATACATTTGGCTCAATGATTAGTTTGCCAATAAAGTGAAAGCAAGGCTAGTGTATGACATCACACTGCTGATTCTATTGATCAGCTACTGGTGCCAATAAAGCCAAAGGAAAGAGCAGACAACACCACTATTCACATAGGATTGGTATTGTCAGGGGAGCTTTATGTGACTTAGACATTTACCCAAAACACGGCATGTAAACTGTTGATTTGCTTGAATTTAATAACATGTCTGCTAGCCAGCTACAAAACTAATGTTACTATAGACTGCCAAATAACTACATTTGAGCTTGCATTTTGTATGAGTGGGTGTCCATGCTGTGTGGCAGAATTGATACCTGAATTTGCATGCAAAAAGCAGGGAAACATAAAGAGGCAAAACACAGGTGCACAGAAAAAAGACAGACATCACTGTGATGTCTCCATGCATTAGATTATTATGCCATGGCACTTCTGTATAACGTAGATAATTTGCTGTGGACTATTTACGTTTAAAATACAGACATGTTACATCTAAAAAGGATTAAGATTATAGATTACTAGTGAATGTTGCTATAGTAAAGAAACACAAGATTGCTAACTAAAGTCACTGCAACATATTTTTTAAAAGCTAGAAATACCCATACCTTATAGGACATTGTTTGGCCTCAGGAATACACATAATGTACAATATTGTGCAAAAGACTTTAGCACAGCCTAATTTCTTTACATTTTTACCCAGACGTTCTTGTATTTGTCAAAGTGTTCTTGAGCAATAGTTCTCAAAGCTTTCTGAATTTATTTTAAAGTTAATTTAAACTGGACATTGGCTGCTTTTTCACTGATTCTCGTCTTTGTAACTGACAGTTTACAGTGTAGCTTTTGTTTTGTTTTTGTTTGTTAAGCCTCTTAATACTGATCTAGCAATCATTCAAATAAAAAAAAGGTGTTGCAACATACAGCTTCGCAGAAAAAAACTGTTTTAAATTATATCTTTAGGCACTTTGTTACAAGCAGCCTGTTCCATAAACACATGATTTGTTCCCATTTCTTTAGCTGAATCTACAAATAATGGCAAAGATAACACAGTTTGACAGGCGTAAAATAGTATTTTTGCACCAACAAGGTGATTTGCAAAGAGCTCTTAGCTGAAAATCTTGACATGCTGTGCAGTGTTTCCTTAAGAAAATTGAGGGAACTGGAGAAATGGTGGACAAAGGAAAAGTGCCAGGTCTACAAAACTTTCTACAGCAGAGAAAGGGTATCTAAAAGCAAAAATCCAACAAAGACCTGACACAGGACATGAAGATGCATCTGCTCCTTCATTCTATCTACTGTTTCAAAAATATCATGAGAAATGGCCTCAATTGAAAATTTTGGTTCAGATCCTTGTCAGTATGCAGAGAGACAGAGGTACTAATATGAGTGTTTTATAGTAGTCTTTAAACATGGTGGACACTGTCACGGTTTAGGTCTGCATTTCAGCCAATGTTTGTTCAAGATCTGTTCAAAATTAATGTTAAAATTAACATATAGTATTCTATATAGTATTGCTGGCAAACAAACACACTGCCAATGCAGTAAAGGCATATCTGGATAGAAGAACACACAATGGAACACTATCAGTTATGGATTATCCTACCGAGATAGCGGACCTCAACATTGTTCAAGCAGTGTGGGTTAAAGAGCAAACGTCAGGCAACATTGAAAGAAGAGCTTTGAATGACTTTCAGAAAGTCTGGAAAACTATTCCTGAGGAATACTTGAAGAAATAACAAGAAAAGTCGCCTAAGGGATTTTTTTTTTTTTTTTTTTTAAAAGTGTGTTGAAGAATGAAGATAGTCATACTGAAATATCAACTTTTACAAACTTTGTAGATTGGTGCAAACTCTGCTTCTTCCTAATACTGCATTTCTATATATGCATGTGCACATTTCAATAAACCGCTGAACCTATTTTTCCATTTTCCTAGCAAAATAGAAAGAAATGAGGTGTGACTCAAGACTGCTAGCCAAGACTGTACTTTGGTGAATAATATCAAATGTTATAAAATTATTTTTCCGAGAAAATTCCACAAGATACATTTAGCGTTTTGGGGATTTTATCAGGAAATTTGTCATCGCTGTAAGATGGTGTATATTTCACACCGGAGCTAATTTGAAGACTCACGCATTCGAAATCATTAAGGAAAGCTCAGACTTTAAAGCTTTTTGACAACCAACAAGATAACATGAATGTCAAAAGAAGGAATATGATTTATGAGAGCCAAGTCTGGCAGATTTCTGCAGTGAAAAGTTGGGATAATAATCAGGCAGTTCTCACAGAAATCTGCAACAGAAATAATTTAACTCTGACAAAGACATCATGCAGACTAAACATTCATTCCCCGCATGTCAAACAAGTCTCTGCAAGCTGATTTAAACGATACACTGACATGTAATAAAACCAGGTACGAAATCAATTAATGAAGTCCAGGTATGTAATGGAAAATGTTAATCAGTAAATATAGAATATGTTCTTTGTTGTTGAAGGGCTAAATCATACAGTCCTTGAATACAACATTATTCTGCGTAATAGACACATTGCAAGCTTACAGTATAAGAGTAATAACTCTCCTTTCATACTGTTTGTACATTGAAGGCTGTGAGGAAGGAATTTTGAAGACTTCCTTTCAAGTGCTGTGATGAAATCCCCTTTTATATAGCTTTTAATCTTAAATTAGAGCCAGAATTGCCTTTTATTCTCTGTGCTTTCAACTGATTTAGATATTTAGTTTCATCCTCTTTCATTAGGTTTTCTTTTCAGTAGGGAAAACTTAAAGTGCTCACATTATGCTTTTTGAGTTTCTCCTCTAACCCTTTAGTCTGTTACATGGCATTTTTTTAGTAAAGGTAAAAGGTTTTCAAAGTAAGAGAGGACAAATGTAGTTATTCCCTCCCATGGAAAATAGTGCTTCTGAACGGTTTGAAACACTTGTAGTCCAGGATTTTCTTCTCTTACTTATCTGTGCCACTACATAGCAGACTGTTATACTGCCCACATGGAAGCAAGTTTGGCACACCCTCAAACAAAATGGACAAAACACACTGAATTATCTGTTGCTGCTGAACACATGCATACCCAACAATGTAAGAACTAAAAAGTCACTGCATTACTTTTATTTTGGTGGCAATCTCCCCGCAACAATAAGAAAATCCTTATAAGTGCTAGCACTGTGCACAGCTAGTGTGGTTAACATTATTGTTTTATGCATTTGTTTCTCTGCAAATCTCTTTGCACTTGCATGTTGTACTTTGCTGAATTCCCAATAAAGCTACAGAATGCACATAAAACAGTGACACGAACACATCCAATTTAGACCAATGCACAACATTACTTTGAAGCAATTTTTTACCCTGCTACTCCGTGCATCTAAAAGAATTGTAGCAGCAAGCTACAAACAGCAGTGATGCTGTGTGTTTTTTTTTTTAATTTACATGTAAATTTATTGGTTAATATCAGTCAAATAAAGCTTAAGCTAAGCCTTTTTGTTAACAGGCGACAGTGTTACATGTAACCCAGTGTTACCTTGCTTTGGACTAGCTAACTGACCAATCAGACCAATCCTTCCTGAAAGGTAGTTTAAAAGGAACAGGAGCTAAAGCAGAGTGTATAAAAATAATCTATGTTTAATTGATCCTCGTGGGGAAATTCCTCTCTGCATTTAACCCATTCACGCAGTAAAGTGGTGGGCAGCCATTGGGCTGTAGAATAGGGAGCAGTGTGTAGGGACAGCACCTTGCTCAGGGGTACCTCAGGGTAGCTGTTCAGTGGATTCAAACCCCCAACCTTTCGATCATGGGGCCACCACTCTACCTACTGAGCTATCCCCACTCTATGAGCATGAGTATCCCAGTACAGCCTGAGAAAAGCAGTGTTTTCTTTTAATATTAAAAATTTAATGAGACAGATTTTAAAATAAATGTAAATAACAACCAGCTGTATTTAAACGCAATCAGAAATTTAGATCTGTTGCATGTAAAGACACTTGCACAAAACTGCTATCCACAAAAAGGGGCAGATGTGTTCATCATCTTGGTTCTCATATTTCTCCACAGCACAACCAGCCAAACCAAGCTTCAGTTTTACCTGAGTGCCTCCAAATGTAATTTCACTGTATAATTGGATAGACACCCAGTGTCTGCTATCATTGTCTGCGCATTAACTTGAATCGTTCCGTTTGCTGTTGACATTGTTTTCAAAGCCTTACCCTAAACGCATTTGTATTTGTGCTTAAGTACTGCTTTCAGCTGGCATATCGCTCTTTGATTGCGGTGGTGGAAGTAAGCCTCTTAAACGATGTTACTATATTGTGATGTTTCTTGGGCAGGAGCGGCAGGCGTCTCAAAACACAAAAGGCACTTGATGCGTGTTTAGATGGCTTCTGTAAGTCACCCGTTGATCCAAACACTGCGTCTTGCCACCAACAGAGGCCTGCAGCTGTAGTCATAAATCATTTATTGTGTTATCACAGAAATCATTTACTCCCTTTTCTTTTCATAACATTCAAATCTCTGCTTTTCTAATACCCATAGTAAGAACCTTTGCGCATCCCCGGAGGAACACTCTAATTTACTTGTGGTGCCATTGTTAAGCAGACACCTTGATGATGGAAGACCTCCTGTACACAATATGGGATTTCAAAATGTGTCAAGTCGGGTGTAAATCTTAGTGCCGCCTCTGGTGAAACAGATATTAATTTGAAACTCTATGCTTGGCGGACTGATGGTCTCTTTTTCACGTGTATTTCAGAATGAAATGAGTTCTCTGCAGGCTATGGCAGAGGTGAGAGAAAAGGCATATCAGAGGCTGGATTGGGCTCTATGGTATAATCCTTAATGAATTCCATTCTTATTTATGACCTGACAGGGCACTGTAACTCACCTCTCAATACATACTGAATGAAATTACTACGGCTATATAGCAGCAATTGCATGTCAATTGCTTCTGAAACAAAAGGTTACAGATGACAATCAATCAAAAACTCCATCACAAAGTTTCTAGGTCAGAGGAAAAGCACCACAGATCCAAACAGAGAATCCCTCAGATCATTCTTAAGGTTTATCTTTCAGAAATAGTCCTGCGGATGATGGACAGAAAATAGGTTGGGCCTTCTTTAAAAGGTTGTTGTGGTGCTAGTTGTGTTATTTATGGAACACCAGCAAGCAAAAAGAGGATGGTACTTCAAGATGCTTTATTAAAACATACTTCATATTGGCTTCGAGTGAAACTTGATTGTTCGTATCCTAGCAAGGGAGAACACTATAAATCATGCCTACAGTATCCAGCACTCGATGAATATATTATTGTTGTTGTTCTTGGCTTGTGATTTTGCATTTTTATAAAATTCCTGCAGTGATACCACAACCTTAATATTGGTATGCAAAGGAAAAAATGGCAGAGATTAAAAAAGGAAAACTTACCTCCAGAGTGAGCTCTCGGTAACACCCCCCAGATTGAAGTCATAGAGCTTAGTCAAGATCAGGATCACCTGCAACGTAACCACAACAGACATATTTAATTACAAGTCAAGATCTGCATTTAAAACCTTTGGCTCGGCAGCGCACATTATCTGTCTCCACCTAATGACTTGGAATAAATACAGCATGTCCGCTACTTTTCTTTGCTAATAAATATCAGGCTCATACAGTATGTTAGCCCAATGACAAGTGATCCTCATGTTGTCAGGAAATGTCAGTCGACTAGTGGCAGGATCTGAAAAAGAAAATCCATGAAGGCTGTCAAGAGTTGTGTCTGTATCTCATGTGGAATGATACCTACATGACAGAAAACTCTGAACATAATTGTTCAGTGAACAATGAAAAGAAATGCAGTCAGTGGCTGCAATGCACCATCCTCTCTCATTTCCTTTTTTTTTTTTAACTTCAGCTTTGCTTTTACCTTCAAAACATTTAAGTACCTTGGCTGCCAAAGCACCAACAGATCTCAAATGCTGATGTTACATGTTGTTATTTTACTCTTTTTACTCATTGGAAGACGTCCAGTTCCAGTTTCGGTGGAACATTTGTTCTCTGGGGATGGTTGGACAATGTGTTTCTGGGGAAACAAAAATGCGGCCCATAAAAGCCTGTCAAGGCACAGAGGGCAGAGTGAAATGGTGTGCAAACGCATTATTGTCACTCCAATGGCATTATAAATGACTTCCCGTGGGGATGCTCATAACTCAGGATAGAAAGAGGGGTAGGGTAGAGAGCTTGGGGTGCTGTATGAATTGTGGGAGAAGGAATGGTAGATAATTACAATCAAAGACTAGAAAGATGACATAATCTTGTGATTTTATTAAAAAAAAAAAGCCATGAAAGATAGGTCCAAAGCTCAATTACAGTGAGTTTAAACGTATTAACCTTATGGGACCCATGGAACGACTCATTAAACCGTAAAAAGCCACACAAGACTCAGAGGAACAATGACACGTATCTAAGTCTGCTTTGAAAATGTTAAAACCCAATTGACCCACAATTTAGCCATCAAATGGCCACTGTGCATGGCTGGGACTATCTGCATTGCAGGTTAATTAACCAATCACACAGTGAGATAAGCATTTGCATAACTAAATGCACCATGTCTGCAAGGTCCAACGCTGGAGTCAGAATCAATTTGGAGCGCAGACTTAGTTAAATGGCTGTGATGTTAGTCCTAATTGCCTGCTTTGAAAAATAGATACAAGAGGAAAAACTGAGCCAAACTGTTGATCGTTTGTCTCTTCAGTTCTCTTTTGCTAACAACAATGAATCTGTGTCACGGGATATTATAAATACTACGAAGTAAATTGAATCTGGATTTGATTTTATCAGTGTCAGAACTAGAGCAGTTCATTCTTAACCACCGGCATTCAAACATCCGGCACAGCAAACGAATCGAGTGAACAACAATTCGATGTTCACAGTTTCGTGGGTTTCAATCATTTCTGCTGTTTTGCACGTGAATTCCAAATGAACCAAATGTGCATAAATGTAGCTGGTGATGTAAAATAACCTTGAAAAAAATGGCCCCAAATGGCAAAACTTGATAACGAAAAGCCTCTCTGCACCCAAGCTGTAATTGCCATTAGGAGCTCTCCCTTAACTGTTGTCAACGTGTTTGTGTGGTTGGCTCATTAACAAAAGCTGACCCACTGAAATGGGTCAGTGAAGATCTACCTCAGGGACCAACAGACTAGTGAGGCAGCTGACTGTTTGGATGATTTGTCCCTAAGTGGATACATCAAGAGTATATCACTGTAGACTGCACGTTCCCACATCTTCAGCGTTATTGATAGGCTGTGCATCTGTGACTCAAGTCAATAGGGAGCAACTACTATACATGCAAATGCCGAGACCAGTAGGGACAGCACACAACTTGCACACCAGATGTGTGACTTAAAGTATGAGAATGAAGGTGCATTAAACACGAAACTCTGAGAGTTTGTGGCGCAGCCTTGCATTTATGTAAATACCGGGAACAAACAAACACAAAATGGCTTCTAGAATTATTTTGAGCCTTCTAGGTAAATACAATTCTCCATGCATATCATTGCTCACTTGCATACATGAAATTAAGTAAGGACCCTGGAAGGCCAAAAGCAGTGCATTTATTCATGTTTATGTTTTATTGATGTGAGCAAAGAGAGCTTTGCCCCGGGAAAGTCAACCAATCATTTTTCAGATTGGCTCTCACCCTCCGAGGAGTTGGGTTTAGTCATCCTTTTATCCAAACATTCTATTCTTGTCGCTGTCTTTTCCTTCTTTGCTTCCTCTTTTCTTTCTTTGATTCGTTCAATCTCACCTCATTTGTTTCTTTCTTCGTTATAGAACAGACTCTCCAATTACTTTCTTTATTTTTAATCCAGCATTTTTCATTTGGCGACAGAGGAAAAAGAAAACATTATAAGGCACACACAGACAGGTTGTTTTTGCCAGAGATTTTAACTCTTAGATGACTGAATAAACAGCCTCCATGGCAACAAGTGTTAAAAGCCATAATTTAATTGTGATTATTTTTTTTTAGCTTAATTTAAAAGACTTACCAGCGAACAGATCTACCAGAGTTTTTCCTGGCTAATGGTTTAGTCACTCTAAAATAGAAATAGGTCAGAAACCTCCTTTCGACTTGGAAAAATCAGTGGGTTACTTTGTGATTTCGTTCAGTTTTTTTGCTGTCACAAGCCGATTGCATGTATTAGCAGCCAGCTGTTTGCTCAGAGGTTGAGCGTGCAACACCACCAACCTCTGGGTTGGGTGACCGTTTTTGATTACAAGGTGACGATCATGGCCTGACTCAGACATACTGCAATGACTTTCAGACAGAATAGTGAAGGTTTGGAAATAGCTCACATGTTGCAATCAATCTTAGTAATGCACGGATAAGCTCAACTCGTCTGCAAAGCATCTCTTTGCAATGGAGCACTCAACTAACTACTTGAGTCGATTGTTTAGATATGTTTTGTTTATATTCCTACATAAAAGCAAGGTTTCTGAGTGTCTTTGTAATTTTTGCTGATCCTGCAGCCATCCTGCAGCAACTATGTCACTATTTGTGGAGCAATTTCTGAAGTTTCACAACTATAAGGTTCTTGGCGGAGTCTGAATGTGAGGAGTGTCTGTGAATGTCAGTATCTGTGTCTGTAGATGGCAACAGACTTAACGCTCCCAACTTAACCACATTCAATCTCAAACTTAAAGCAGACTGATAGCAGACTGACTCTGTCCTACCACGTTATTGCCTGCATCAGAATAGGTTCCAAGACAGCAATTTACCGCGTGTTCACAGACCTGGTCCTCATCTCCGAAGCAAACATTTAAAATGCAACAAGATCAGAAGAGGCATCTGAACATAGTTGGTGGGCAGAATATTTTCGACACAACTCGCAATTTAGGTATGAATCATCTCTTTGTACTGTACTGAAAAATGGCTATTAATAAAATAAAATAGACTGTTGCTGCACATCAGCACAGTTATTTCGTGATTTCTAGCACCAAGCTTCAAATGGAACCTGTTGCTTATTCAGCCCCCAGTAAAGCATAATTAGGCTGGCACCCCTCAAATATTGTTTCTGCCTAATTGGGTAGTCAAGGGAAGCGAAGGAACCCTTACTCTAAACATCACACCTCCAGACTGTTTTTTTTTTCTGCTCAGGAGTAACACATCGCGGGAAGTAAAAACAATCTTTAGAAATGCGAGAAATGAATCCACTTTCATGTGGATCTGGTGCTGTTTTTGAACATAACCAGAGGGGACAACAAGGAGCTAAATTAATTTCCAAGGGACCCCCAAAGTTGATACCAGTGAGTGATGTAAGGTTCATTGTAATAACTCAGCTAGCGGCTGATGCTCAGCGAAGCACTGACATATCTCGATTTTGTTACTTACCTTTAGCCTCTGCAAAGTTCACTGCTACAATGACACACATTTACATTTTCATGAATACACATAAGCTTTGTATATTGTACTGCAGGGTAAACATTCATACAGTGAGCGAGCCATCTCCTGGGAGTGACCCCCGTCTATCTGAGCCACAAACGTCTAACAACTCACTGGAATATTTCAACACTAATGGAATTATTTTCATGCATTAGATATTTTATTTTAAAACCAAAATATGCCACCTCTCTCTCTGACAGCTGTCTGGAGGTCAGTTTTGTGATCTCCCAAAAGAGTAAAAGTGGTTTTTGAATCCATCAAGTGACTGAGTAAGACATAATCTGACAAGCCTTGCCTTAACTGGCATGTGAGTAGATACATGTGTACAGTCTTCTCTAAGAGCTTTTCATGTGTCCAGCTGTAATAAGTAATATGACAGTGCAGACTTGAGAAGCGTCAGACTGGGTTTGAGGTCATTTAGAAATGACGTCACCGTTGGAGAGTTTGGTGATTTTCTTTCCTTTTTTTTTTCACTCATTTTTTCACTCTTCTCTTTCGCCTCAGTCCAACCGGTCGAGGCAGATGGCTGCCCTCGCTGAGCTTTGCTCTGCCTGAGGTTTCTTCCTGTTAAAACTGGATTTTCCCCCCCACACTGAAACAAAGTGCTTGTCATAGGGAATAATCGGGTTTCTCTCTTTCTATGTAATATTTTACCCTACAATGTCAAGCCATGCCATGATTTCATTTGACTTCCTGATTTGGCTATTACTCACCATTTTACCTTATTTTGTTCTCAACAAAGTGTGTGTCATTGAACTTTTCAACTTAAATATTTCATTCATTAAGTTCTGATATGTGTTTTAGGTGATTTTTTTTGAGCAAGGTAAGAATAATTTCATAGAACAACAACACATAGAGGTTTATAGCAAGTTTCAGCTCAGTGTCCAACACCACGCAACTTTTCTGTTTTGTTTCACAGCTCTCAAAGCACCGTTTTTGGCAGCAGTGGGCAGCTGTTTACAGTGAAAAACCTCCAACACACTCCTGCACAGCAGCTCAGCAGCAAGCAACAGATAGAAACAGTTAGTGCTTAGCTTTTTCACAAGCAAATAGATAGATATATGCCTTTAT